CCCCCCCCTCCACTGAGTGTCACAAGTTAGATATGTTGAGGTAAATGGTTGATATGTTTGCAAAGGATATATGTGTACACAGATGAACTAGTTGGATCAGATGATATAGTTGGATCAGATGAATAGTTGAAGGGTTTGATACATTTGGATCAGATGATTGAACATGAATTGCTTCCCAGGGGGCCCCGAAAAGTTCACGAGCCCATATATATATATAAGAATCAACTTGGCAGATGGATGGTGCATTTGTCCCCCCAACCTTTACATCCATTCCCTTGCCACATCGGATGTCGAAGCACATCGAAGCACTTGGTCTTTCGGTCAGTGCTTCGCTGGGCTCCCCAGCAGTTTGAGGCTGATTCTCCAAGTTGCCACCCAGCCTGAGAACAGGAGAATGGTATAGTATAGGGCAATAGTAAGCGCTCAGGACACAATAAGCAGTGCGTGCATGCCTCTAGTTCAAAGTTCAAAGCAAAAAACGCCCTACACTCCGCGATTAAAATATGTTAGCTTTATAAGATGCAAAGCAATGAACGGTCTTTGGGTGTTGCTATTGTGTGCGTCTAAGGGTGGTTATATAGTCTTCAAAGACTTCTTCATGCCATGGGTCTCCACAAAACATCATGGTCCGCCAACACCAATGAGTTTTTAGGCAACGTTCCTTCTGAAGTGTGATGAGTTCCTCAACCGACAAATTCCGCAATCCGTTCGATGGAGGTTCAGTGGCTGGCTCTGCTGTTGGAGCTGAGCTAGGCACCCCGAGAGCGCAATCGCAAGGCCAGGGTGTCCTGCAGCGCGGGGACGGTGGTACTGGAAGCAGCTGGGAGATACCGAAAAGGCAGCCAATGTCAAAGCTACTAACGAGAGATCTGACCTGGAGCAAATCGGGGTGATTGAGTTTGTGCCAGCAAATCAAACACGTTCCAAGACCTTACCGAGCACTTGCGCAAATGGATTGACCATGTGCTATTCCACAAAATGTTCAGTCTGGGCCGTTCTTCAGTCTTCGGGGTTTGACCCGGGGAAAAACATTCACGAACAAAAAGGGTAACCTTCCCAGTAACTACACAGCTCCTAGAGCCAAGTGACGGCCGGTCGGCAATAATATGTATCGACACGTACATATTAATATGTTATTGCAGGTCACATCCCTTCAAAACGTGCACATCATATATACAATATTAATGTGTCTATATATATATATAGGTATGATAAATAAATATGTCATGTGTATATTAATTGCAGCTAACCAGCTAACCAAATATGTTAAAATAAAAACACGTCGATGCATTTGAAGGTTCGATTGTGGCAGCAAAGAAGGATTTTGCAACATGCTGGTGGCAAATCAGTTTGCAACTTTCTCGTCTCTGAACGTCTCGACCGCTGTAGGCAGGACTCCTGGGAAGCCATTGAGGCCCGGAGGCATGTTGTAGGGCAGCTCGTAGAAACCATTCAGCAGCCGGTCCTGGGAAGCCCACAGCGAAACGACCGGTGAAAGGGTGGATAGTGGTGACCGGTGGCTCGTCGCGTTTTCCTGACTGATATGTGACATCTCTGACGAGCTTGGTCCCTTCAACTGCAACCCCAGAAAAGAACACTGTCCTTGGAGACCACCGCGCAGAAGAAGAAGGGAAGTTCTTGCCAAGCGCGGGAAGGCCTGTACCTGTGGATGTCCAGAATCCTAGGTCGTCGCAGCAGGGTGATCCGTCTCGTCTGCATGAATTCTCAGTCTCAGTCGCAGTCAGCTCCAGATGGCTGTTACAAGGCAAATGAGTCTAATGCATGTGGCCTCTTGGAATCTCTTCAGACGAACGCAAAAAATATATAGACATGATTATGGATGCATGATCAGTTTGTGTATATAGTTCAAACACCCTTGATTCTCCTGCTTGATAGCCGCGGCAAAAGCATACACATCCACCAAACATCGAGCACATATATATATATATATATATATCTGTGTGTGTACTCATATACGGTATGTATCGATGTATCGAGAACATAGTCTGTGATGGTTGTGATGTGATGCCATTGATCAACTGCACAGCGGTAAAATACAAAACAACAATGTGGCAACATGTACCTACCTTGTTGGATGTTATTCGCAGGTGAATAAAATGGCATAACTGTGCCGTCCTGTACCTCCGTGCAATGTGCTTTTCGTCCCCTGCTACAAAACCAACCAAACAAAACCAGGCACAGGTCAGGGTTTCTACACACTGCTGTCCTTCATTGCTTTAAAAGGCTTTGAGTGCATGTGCTGCACTCCCTTCATTTGACTCATGCCCAATGATGCCTGAGTATTCGGTGGGCCCTCATGGAAGTGCAACAAGAGCTTGGACTGCTGCCTGTGCGGACTGCCAATTGCTCAATGGCCAGAACTTCAGCACCCTAAGTCTCGAAAATGTCCTCAGGCATGTCCTGTTTGCCAAAGTGCCCATTGAAGGTGTCCAGGTTCTGAATGTGCCCTCCGTGCAGCCTGAGGGGCTCGGAGGGCACAAGAATGTGGACAGCAAAGGCCTGACTAGGTCCTTACAAAAGAAAAGAGGCTCTAGAGGCTCCAGAGTCAAAGAATTGCGATTTGTCAAGTGTATGGTGTGGGTGCTGTATGGAACCTCATTGGTGCAGTATAGAACCTCCTCTTACAATAAGCAGCATTGCATGAATCAACTGCGGAACCACATCTAGCCACACAAAATGACTTACCGAGGGAATGAACAGCGTGGACATGACCAAACAATCTGAAGGTACAGGTGCCCAAAACACACAACACCCTGCTCGGCCAAATCAAATGTCATTCCGAGTCAATCAGCATTCAAACACCCAAGCTTTTACCCATAGAGTGAGTTTGCCGGGACTAGGGGGCCATGTTGCCTGGACCAGTAACCCAAACTAGCTGCTAGCCTTGCCCGGCCTTGCCTCTCCTCGACATGAGGAAGGAAAGCATGACAAAACATGCGACATGTTAACATGATCCAATTTAGCCAACGGATTAGACCTACCTAAAAAAACTTCGGCCAAAATGTCTGCCTCTTTCGGAAAAGAGTCTGAATGAGTCTGATCAGCTCTTCCAGTCTGACTGTCCTTCTAAGGCTCTAAGGTATAGGCTTCCTCTATGCTTGGGCGGAGTCCGCACCGAACAAAAAGAACGATGCTCCGATGCTCCCCAAGCGGCAAATCCAATTGCACGCTCATGAAGAATCTCGGCGCACAAGGACACTCATACCAAATGGATCCAAATGGAAAAACAGGGTGACGGACAGGGTGATTATGTGGCAATATGGCACAGTAAGATGGCAAACCGACCTTTTTGAGCGAAAATTTGATATTGGCCCGCAGTGATTGGCAATCAACGCGTGTGCACCAACAACTCTAGATGCAATTTGACAAAGACAGGGGCAAGCTCGGCTCATGCTTGTAGAAAATGATAGCTATCTTTCTCGTCGTCTGGGAAGTTAAGTTTGCGTTTTGTCTTGCTCTCTCTCTCGTGCCTGGGTGGTGATGGTGCTGGTTGATCAACAATGTCTCCAGTGTATGGTGCTTCAGGCCACTCGCTCCTGGGCAGTCGCGGAGAAAATCATCCACACAGAATAGGTACGCATGCACTGCATGCGCCAATGATTGTGCCAAACCAAATCTCAAGGAACACCGCCTTCTTTCCTCAGCCTCACTCAGCACTTTGAGGAGTGCGTGGTTGAACTAATTACTTGTTCCAGCTCCCATGCTCCTGCAAAACACTCTCTTTGTGGACATGAGAATTCATTCCTTTGAACCACATTGGTGTTTCACTGCGCCGGAACTGGAAACTGGACGTTTCTGTGAACCAAACGTCCCCGAGAAGCTGACCGTTTCTGTGAACCAGATCCCGAACCGTTGCGGAGGGTGGAGGGCTGGGAAGCATGGCCGACTGCCACGTCGATCGGAGGATGTATGCCGCGTATGCCGACTGATGCCTCGTGGCTGAAGCCACCCTCAAAAACTCTCTTACTTGTCACTTTTCTCGAAGGGGAGGATGGGTGGTCACCGTGAAATACAATTAAATCTATGATCAAAGTCATTGGATGTGGGCTCTTGGGGAATTTCATGCGCTTTCTATCTGATCCATTCCTAGTTGCAGTCTGAGGCAGGACGGCAGAAGGCACAACGTGCTGCACAAAAGCATCATGGTCAAGCGAGGAAACACGGCCAACTGGTTGGCCAAGCACAAGGCCAACCCATGCTTCCATCCATCTTCCATCTATCTAGCTATGAGCCACAGGTCTTACAGCAGGTATGCCCTCCTTGAAGATTCTATGTTCAGCTATCTATATAGAAGGGCCATCCACCAAGCGGTATGATGAGATTCCCACAGCGCGGAATCCACTTCGAACAAGAAACCCTGCCAAGGCAATGATCTTCAGCTGGGTCTTCACATGCAGCCGGGTGTTGATGGAACCTCGATCGGCCCGGTTGAAGGTATCAAGGGACCCGGTTTGGGGTGTTTGGCGAGGAAATGGCAAGTGAAGCTGAGTCTGGAACTTTCTCAAACATGGCTCACGAAAAGAACTCAGTAACTCCATTGGATTATATAATTGGAATCAAGCCCTGCTTGTTCTTCCCTAAGCACCCCCAAGAGAGTAGCACTGCTCCAAAGTCCAAAGTAGGAATCTTGTGCAGGCAGTTGTAACTTGCAACCGGTGTCTCCACAGTAGCAGTGTGAGTCCGCATCTGCGAATGCAACAACTCTGTCAGGGCCTGCTCACCCCTGCCGACACTCTGCCGCTTCCCCTTCCATCCAGAGCACGGGAGAAGTAGGGTGGAAGCAAGTGCCCAGTGGCCAAAAAGGCTTGATCCCGTGGATCGATAAGCCTCGGGAGCGTGGCGAAGGATGGTTTTGGAGTCAGTATGGACGGAGGTTTGGATTTGGCGCTTGGTAGTCATACAGTCTTAAATGGTTTCATCCGAGTATGTTGTTTTCAACGCTTCTCCACACAAAGAAGAGTAGGACAAGCACATACTTATCGTCTTGGATTGTGACGGAGGATACACTGATGAACATGTCATGAATAACGATGGTCCAAATCCAAACTGGTTGAGAATTTGATTCTTCCGGCGTCTGGCAGGTACTGCAAGCACTCAGGTCGCTAGCTAGGAATTACGGCCTAGACAGGTTCAAAACCTTGAGTTACAAATGGTGGGTCTTATGAGCAACTCCACTTTCTCTATTGAAGCCGAGTGACGAGGAGTGGATGTGAATGTTGAAGTGCCCTGCCTCCCCCGCATTCACCTAGGGCCATGGGCCACAGGGGAGCTTTCTCCATGGAATGAGGAAGACAGAAACACATTCAGCAGCTCCGGTGTGCTCTGGTGAGCTCCCCCGATAAGCGGATCTGAGAGTGGAACTTTCGGCCAATCCAGTACGGGATTTCAGGAGATGAACTGTGGTGTGCTACACTGACAGTGCACTGATTGCAAGATTGAGGGGAAAGATTACATTTCCACCTGGCGGCATTGCAAACATGTTTGGTGGTCGTTAGGTCGTAATTTGGCTACAGTGTCGCTGAAAGGTCGGCTTCGGTCGCCCACTTCTCAAAGCCCAGATTGAACTTTCCAGCCCCTCTGATCAGGCACAAACAAGTGGTAATGATTTTAAACACAAACAATCACCAAAAAGGTTTTGAACCCACAACCTGCTGTAGAACGTCTTATTGGAACATGTTCTACCACCGAACGAACTAGCTTAACGCGCCAGTTCGACCAATGGTTGCGAAAAGCTTATCGACTAGCGTAGAACCACAACCACGTTTCGAACCTCTGCTTATTTGTTTTCCGTTTCTCCACGGACTTTTTGCAGCTGAACATGACAAATTACAGTCGAAAATGGTGTGGAGTACCTGGAGATATAGGTGGTGAGGGTCTGGTTATTGACTTCTGTTTTTTGATTTCACTGCATGTGGGGTAAAAAAAAACACAACAAAACCATATCTAAAGCCATGCTTTGGAGTGAGCCCCGGGTCCAGCGCCGCGATGACTTGGAGGATTATGCTTAGCAAAATTGAATGCTATGCTAGGGTTAATACAATAGATTGCAGCGGCCCTAATACACTGACAAGGGGTCGGATTCTATTTCAGGACCGATACGGTAATTTCATAGATTGAAGCATGGGCATCATGCGGCATCACTTATTGCTCGACTTGAAGTGCTCTGATTGGTATGTTTTAACAAGTCTGCTGTTTTTGTTTGCTTCGCATCTGTAGCACCCCAAGAACAAACATCAAAGCAAACCCTACTTACCATAAGCGAAAAGGTGCATGCGCGCAGCAGTAACTTGTTGATGGCTTCTCCCTGATTGCGCCACCAAACGTCAAGGAACAAACACAATTGATCTCATTATGAACCTAAGTCCTAGTTCCACAGAAATGATTACACAGAAATGACCACCTTCAATGTAGTATTGAATTGCTCATTGTTCAATTCTTGCATGATCGTGCAGTTGCGTAGTTGTACCATGTTGTACATCATGGTGCATTGTGGATGACACAAATTCACCCAGCAGCTCTATCATTTGGGGCTGCCTTGTTTGATTCACTAATGCTCCTTAATGCTCCTTGAGCATCAATCACCAGCAACTCGCACACATACAGCCCGTCAACACGTTGACACATGCAAACCTGCATTGGTGATGGAAGTTCAACAGCTTCTCACGACGCGTTTCATGTCGCATCCATTGCCAACAGCCTTGAACTCGCCAAGATGCAAGGGTGGTAGGTGAGATCTTGTCGAACGCGAAATCCTGAGATAGAACGCTCAACAAGGTTCAAAGGCGGTTTCAACAAGCGGTGCGCGGTCTGTGTTTGTCCAAATTGTTCACTTCAGTACTGTCCACATGCCTGGAAGATGGTGACTTCATACCAAGGATCCAAAACCGCAATTTCCATGGGCTCCAAATAGAAGCTGTGGAAGGGTCGGAAATCCGGCTGATGCCAGGGGAAGTTCGTCTTGATGAGATCCTGCCGGAGTAGGGTCAGTGGAGATCGTTCCGTCTGAGTTGGTTGCTGTTCACCTGGATGACCAATCCTGTTGGCAAAGACTCTGTTGGCAAAGACTTGTTCTTCCCCTTCACCGAACCTTCACCTGAAAGCAAACGCCACAATCCACCCAGAAGAAGTTACAAATGATTGCAGATCTGCGGGGCACTGCCCGAGCACTGCAAGTCACACAAATGACTTAGCCATATTCTTGTAACCCCAGGCGAAAACGCCAAACAATAAATGTCAACCAACAACAGCAACATGTGAACCACTCTCTGCTCTCTTTTCCCATCACATTACATTCTGGCCTCATCATCGATCGGGTCCAGCCCATAGAAGGCCACGGTCTTGCTTTCGGGGTCGGACTTGTCAATCTTCTGGCCGTAAACAAAGGACTGCCTGGGTGAACAACTCCTTCGTCCGCGATGGGGTTCAAGTCTCACTGTATACATACATATATATATATATACATGTGTGTGTGTGCGTGTAGACCTAGACTAGTATATGATATATTATATATCTATATACTGTAGTTAAAGGGTCACAAAAGCAGTACAGTAACAAAAGGAATAAAACCACAGTGGGGTCAGCTTGGTGTTGGGGGAGTCTTGGTATGTCTTGGTGCCATCGCCCCTCAAGCACCCTTCAAAGACTCGCACTCAAACTCCTTTGAAAGTTAGATTTTCTTACTAGACATCAAACATGCACTCCAAGGGAAGAGACATCAGGCGAGAAACGTGTATACCCGTTACAAGGGCGACTTTCTTATAGGAAGGTGTTAAGCATGCCAATGACCGTACATAAAGGCTAAAGCTTGAAGCAATGCAGGACAACGCTGTTTTCTTCAGCTATGGCTCTTGTAGGTGGAATCAGCAGCATTGAGCTCCAGTGGCTCAGACATATTGCAAAGGACCTCTGTCCAGTCGCACCTGAGCAAGTTCTGCCCACCGTGCGGACCAGCCCCGCGCCGTCGCGTTTCGTTGGAGACCTCCAGTCGTTGTGCTCAACGCCTTTCAAGGCACTTGTAGTCTGCTGGATACTGACCTTCACTGCATGGGCGGCTAGGATCTCTTGGGTAGTTTTTCGGCCAATCTGGGCCTGGGTAGCCTTGGCAAAGCACCAGGTCGGGACAACCAGGCCCAATGACAACTTACAAAAGACCAAAGCATGTACGTGGTTTTTGTGATTTCTGTTTGTCTTACTCTTCCGGAATAGCCATGTCTGCATTCTGTGGACCGTGCTTGAGGTGTGTGGAGTGTCCTCCTTTGTCCATAGTCCACATACCGCACATCTAGATTGCTGTGCCCATCCCAAATGGGCTTTCAATGCATCTCCAAGTGCAGCTCAGCAGCATTTGTAAATGTTCCTGTAGGGGCAAAGCAAGGACTTCATTTTTGATCCCACTCTTGTTTGTCAAGTGACATGTTCAGGATGTTACCTTTTTCTACAGTGTTCCTCATGGACATCGTGCTCGCCCCCCGGTTCCAGTGCCGGAATGTAAAAGAGCAGGCCAGTCTGCTTGTGTGTTGGTCACCTTCAGGTGTTGGAAACCTAGCAGACCTAGCATTCAGTCAAGCGGTCGCTTTACAGTAGGCCTCCTGTCACCATGTCAGTTGACCAGTCGTACGAACTTGGCGTGAACATGCGGGCCATCGATTCGATTCGATTGATACAGCGGAATGTTCTGACCGTTCCGATCACCTAATTTTCTCCCGTTCTCAACGTTCCGCCGTTCGAGAAGGCAAACGTTCCCGACGAAAAAAAAAGAGAAACCGTTCCGATTGACCAGCTGACGTGAGAGATCTGCCCAGTGGCGTGATTGCAATAAGGTCGCCCCTCTGGATGCACTCCTCCGGCATTTTGGAACCAATCCTCGCTGAAGCGTGGGCTTGGCCAAGTCCGATGGTTTAGGCCAACTGGTTGCTTCAAACTCCGAAAACGAGGTGGATTTGCACAAGCATACGCCCAGGCCGCCTAGCTATAGGAGGCCAATGTGAACACCCAAGATGCCAAGGACCATTTCCAAGGTAGGGCTGTTCTTACTTGTTCTTTCATAGCAGGTCACTTTCTCTTAAGCCAAGCATCGTGGACTCAGTCCCACGTGGGCATTCAAGGTTGCCTTTCCAATCCTCCACGGCAGTGTAGCATGGAAGCCCAGAACCTCAGCTCCATCATGGTCATCCAAACTCACCTTCACCGTCCTAAGATCACCCCATACCCCCCATCACTGAGCCAAGATCACCCCACAACTCCAAAGAAACTCACACAAACTGGATGTTCAACACATGGCTGACTCCTTTTGGACTTCCCCACCACCGGACTGGTGCTTCACACCCGTTCCCCCAACCAAAAGCCACCGGACCGCGGATCCAAGGAGCTCTTAGTCCAGGGGGTCAACTCTGCGACGGTCACATCGGGCGCCTCAACCGTTGCATGTCACAGGAAGAATGTCCTCTGGTCTTTTTCTTCACAGGAAGAACACAGGTGGTCACAATCTCCAAAAGGCATGAGTGTATAAAAACAATTAATGGTCTAAGAGGGCTTATAGATGTCATTGCTGAACGATGTCTACTTGGGAGCAGCAGCTTAAAGCCACGGTCGATGTGTCCCCATGTTATGTTACTCAGTAGACATGTGTGGAGTATCGTTTTCGATCTGAGCACAAGTCCCACCACCCGACTTTTCTGCATTCCACTGCGCCGGTCATAGTACAATTTCGATCTGGCTTCATCTGCCTTTTTAGGCCACTGGTGCCAGCAGCTGCGTTTGCAAGCGCTCCAGGCGTGTGGACACAGAGTTGTCCAGCACGGCCTCACCCATCTTCACCACCAGACCTCCCAGCAATGCGGGGTTGGTGTTGTATTCCATGATCAATTTGGAGCCTTCCGCACGCTTTTGCATGGCAGCTTTCACCTGGTCTTGCTGGGCGCTGCTGAGCGGAGCTGCGGAGGTCACCTTGCACAGCAGCAAGCCCTTTTCTGCGCGGTAGAAGTTCTCAAAAATGTCGATCATCCGCAGGAGCAGGTGTGCCCGCTTGTTTTCCACCAGCACCTTGAGAAAGTTCACCACGGCCGCATCGATGCTCGCCTTTTTGCAAATGGCCTCAAAGGCTGCCACCTTGCTCTCTGGCTCAATCCCAGGGGTTTCGATGGCAAGCTTCAATTCCTGACTCTCTGCTATCATACTGCGGAGCCCAGTCAAATCCTCATAGACCTTGTCCAGCTTCTCCTTGGATGCCATGAAAAGAGCAGTTGCATATCGACCTTCCAGCGTCCCATCCTCCATCTTGGGCTTCGTGGCGGCCGCGGCATAGGATCGTGTCAGCTGTGGAGCCGCCATGGGGTGCAAGACATGGCGAGGCATGCTGGAACTCGAGGCACGGGCCGCATGGTACAAAGACCTGCCGGCCAAACGGAGCATGATGCGATTCGCGTCGGCGTCGTTTTGCTCTAAAAATCAATGACAGGCTTGAGCCCTAACATCTGAGACACAAGAAACGGCTTGGATTGTTGCATCTGGCGGGTAAGGTCTGTGCAAAGGCCCCTTGACTGTCAATGTGTTGCGTATCTACTGTATATATATATACACAGTATGTAGCAATATATGCATATATCAAGACATATTTATTTATATCATAGAATAAATAGATATATACACACACATATAATCACATATATATGTATATAGAGAGAGAGAGAGCGCGCACAATTGTTCTTGCGATTCATGTCATACGAAGCTTTTGTCATGGCAGCATTGCAGCAAAGGAGCACATTGATATAGAATTTCCGTCTCCTGACATTCCAAGGATGGGCTGAATCTGGTCCAAACCAGGCATATTGTGTGAATAACAAGTCTCCCGCACAATCCCGCTCACAAAAATCCCGCCACGGCCGGGCCAGCTTCTCAAAATCTCAATTCAATCAATCCTCTGGACCTGACGGTTTAGTGCTCTAGCCAAGGGGCATTGGAGCTGTTGGTGTTGTTGTCAACTTCCTGACATGGAGGATATCCGGGCCTTCATGACAGTTCTTCAAAGAGAAGATCACATCATTGAGCACAAGGCTAACTTTTATGAGTCTATGGATGTCTATGAGTGATGGGCACAGACTCTCCAGCTAGAGGGCTCTTGAAACTGGTCACCGTCCGCCTCCTTCCCCTGGTCACAGTCGAAACCAACTCGCGGACGCCAAACCAAATCAATACTTGGGCTGCTTGGTTACTTGGGCCACCTGGCCTGCAGCTGTCGTGCCAAGTCTGGCCTCAGTTCAGTGGCAACCTGCCACTCGAAGGAAGTTTCTTCCCAAAATTTGCAAGTTCTTCATCTTTCTGCAATGCCGTGGGTCCACACCAAAAACTTGCCGCCGCCTCCCACTGCTAATTTAATATCGGAGATATGCAAAATATAGACGATTTATACCTACATGAAGATGGTCTCAAAGTGCAAGGGGTAGTCGCCAGAGTTGTAGTAGTAGCAAACCGTAGCAATAACAATGTGCCTAATTAATCCCAGCTGCAGCTATGACCCCTCACAGCATCTCGTGGAGGCCCATGCCCTGGATTCTTTTCCACTTACTTCTTTTCCACCTGTGCCCTGGGCCTGTGCCCTGGATTCTTCTGATCAACCTATCCGAGGACCAATCAATCCAACGGAGACCCCAAACAATGCGGCCGAGCATCTGTTCGGAACGGCCTGATGCAGGGACCCCAAAGACCCAATCAGTGTGGACTGGATAATATATATATATACATAACTATAATACACACACACATATATATATATATATACACACGCCTAGAACCTGATCGACCCCCGTTTTGGATCCCAAACATGACCTTTTCCGATCAAAACACGTCAATTGGGTTCCAGATGGCTCTAAATGTACATATATATATATGTATATGTATATATGTATACCCCCTCCTGTTTGCATTGGAGATCCTTCGACCTACTTCCTCCCAAAGCCAGGCACCTCCAGGCTCAACTGCTCAAACGGTCATGGCACCGGGGGAACTGACCGGTTTGGACCCGAAAATGAACCGAATGGACGACCAGGGAGGTCAGGCCTAGGGTGTACAGGGCTCCAGGTTTTGACTATCACATCTGCACGGTCTGACCGTCATCTCACGGTCTGGAATTGGCCGCGAAGAGACAGCTCGGCGACACACGGAATGAACTACGGGAGCTCAAAAGAAACGACATGTTATACCGTACATAGACAGAATAGATAGAAAAGTAAATCCCCGGTTAAACATGTATTGGAAACATTTGGAAACCGTTTCTCTCTATTTGGGGACCACACCGGACCACCAGAAAACCAGGAGTTCCATGTCGACGAAGTGGGAGGGAGTGCCTGGCCATTCGATCATGCACTCAATGGAGGGCACATGATGATTCTTCAACAGCGGTTGCCTCAAAGTTTCAACCCCATGAGATCCTAAATGAACCCTGTCAAAAGCTAATCAAAATTGGAGCAAATACTTTGAACACCTAAGGGGGTCGAATTCATGAACCTCCCTTCCCACAGCACTGCCATGGCAACAGCTTGTGCATTCCTGACATTCCTGTGCTTTCCTAAGCCACCCTTAGAATCTTAGAAGCCCTAGGCCCTAAGCAATTCATTTGTACACCCAACCACTCCTAAATGCTCCTACACAACCCTAAGAAATCCGGAGCAAACCCACCAGGCAATCCTAAGAAATGCAACATTCTTCCCGAAGTGGACCATCCTAGGAAATCAACATCAACGGCCAGTGATTCTGCCGAATCACTGGAAGTTGCCCCTGTTTGAAGCCGCTTCCGTCACCGGTGGACCGGCCGCCGTGGACCGAAGTCCGTCCAAACAGATGCTATGGAAGTGATGGTGCACCGGCTATGGAAAGAAATGCATTTTTATATACACAATTATATATGATTATATACACATACATATACAATATATAAATTCTATGGCCATTCACAAATGTCTAAACGACCGCACTGAACAAAAAAGACCTTTGCCACCATGCCTGTGGAGGTGTTTTCCGCGAAGTAGCCCACGACATTGGGCAGTTGCAGTCCCTCCAGCGCACGTGGAATCTCATAGTGTTGCCTCGAATGCCAGGAACTTTCGAAATTTGACTATCCTCAGGATTCCTGCTGAGGGTTTAAGCTGTGATCACCTGTGAGAACAGTTCTGTAGCAATTCTTTTTCGAAAACAAACGGTCCCAGGGTCTGAGGATTCAGAGCAGCAAGGAGTTTTTGGCACCTGGTCTGCTTAGGCAGACCGGGCTCACGTCTGGCAATGTCTGGACCTTCACGTCCCGTGCCACAGTGGGATGATCGTACCCCCACTTTCTTTGAAAGATCTTCAAGCGGAGGAAAACCCTATCTGTCCACCTGTGGAAAGACAGTCCCAAATGGAAGATGCTGCCAAACATCCAAAGGAAAATCACCGGTCGCCTGGCGAGCCGAGGCCGGTGCCCCGTGCGAACACCCACCGCTCGCCGCTCAGGGGCTCATGAGCTCGATGTCGCTTGGCACGCTCCTCGAGGACCCAGTTGAGCACTTCAGGGCCCTGCTTGTCTGCAAAGATTTCTTCCAAGATCTCGGGCGCCGGCAGAAAAGACAGCTCGACAGCATGCTGTCTCATGCTGTCTCTGTGCTTGTCTTTCTTCGATGTGAACAAATGATCCGCCTAAGCGAATGGGCCTTCGGATGTACGAGACAGCCGAAAGTACTATTTTTGGACCCCCAAGCTGAAAGAGAAGTAGATCCCCACCAAACATATTACAACATATCATTATATAAATATTCATACATATCGAAACATGTATTGGAAACGGTGCCACTCCACTATATGCCACTATCTATTTGGGGACCAGTTGGTTCTCTTGACTCTTCGTTTTTTTCGGCCTGGAAGCCTGACATTGTAATGTTCACAAGTGCTCCAAGTGCACAAAATCTGATCATGCACAACTTTAGAACAGGTCGCTCAAGCCCAACGCGGCTTTTCTACGACTGCAGCAAGGTAAAATGCCCAGCTTTTTGTCCCCCCCCCCCGAAGAAAAAAAAGAAAAACACACAAGCCCACAAACACCTCATGGACTGAAAGCATCTGAAAGGTTCCCCCCATGCGTCGAACGATGTCTGACGGTTTCAGGAGTGAAATGCAGGAGGAAGAAGCTACGAGCGTAGCTCCTGGCATTACTAGTAGCAAAAAGCCACTATAGGTGGAGGCTATCGCTACTAGGGTGGAGGCCATCACTAGTAGGAACAAGAAACTACTAGTAAAAAGGGCAGTGTACTACTAGGAAGCAGAAGCTACTAGTATCTCCGTGCACGGGGCACCATGTTCTCTGCTGACCCAAAGGGGACCCCGATACGACAAAGGTATCTACCTCATGACCTCGCCCCAGTGCAAAGAAAAAACAGTAACACAAAATGGAAGCACCTTCTTTCAGGGTGGGTATGTGGATGTTGGAATGATGTGGAATGGACATTTTCACCAAAAGCTTTCGACTGGGTTCTGGCTCGCAATCTGGAGACATGGCGCCATCATTTCTTGCGTCCATGAAACCACAGGCTGTTCTGTGAAGTTCGAGGCTGGGAGGACCCATACCTGCGGCGAAGGCAACATCGAGTTCTACCAAGAAATGATCAAAGGGCAAACAATGAACAATCTGTCCTGGGTTTCAACATGTGTCCACCACTATCCTACATGTGGCAAACAACTGAAAGGCGGGCATTGCATGCTAACGATCACATATATATATAATATATATGTATAGATTTGGATATGTGTGTATTATGTTCAAAAAATATCTTGTCAACAGTCGGTGCAGCCGCGAAAAATGATGACTCTTGAAGTGAACGCTTGAGCATTGAAAATCAATAGCAATAGCAATAGCAGTGCACATGATATAAATGAACACAAATATACACAAATTAAATTGTGCGCTCTTGTGGCACGGCATGAATCACCTGACTCGCTGAAAAAATTGGTTCGATTCTTGCCACAAATGGAGCCTGCTTGCCCTTCTTCGCAGAGCCTCGGCCATCAACATGCAAAACTGACGAGGGTTGAGGGTAAACGTATGTACACATGTGGGAAAACAAAACACCTTGCACTGGTTCAACCAATTCTTGGTCGCAAAAAACTGCACCAACACAGCAAATTTGTCCAACGGTAGGGGGTTTGCAACTCAAAACCAACATGGAACCTGAAAACCACTGGGTTGTAGAGGAAAATCAATTTCCAAAGGTCCATCTTCAGGCTCCATGTTAATTAATTTTCCCAGGCGTATATGTTCGGAAGAACCCTGAAGGAACATCAAAGCCACTGTGTCTTCGATTCGACCCCTGCTACACAGGCCAGGGAACTGTAGTTTTCAGGCAGGGCGACGAAGTTCTGGTCCTGTTTCGAAGAACGTTGCCAACGTTTCGAGAAAGGTCGAGACGAGCCGTAAAAAACATTGACGCCCTGGCTGGGCTCTGATGAAGAAAAGCATCTTCTTGGATCAGGTTCTTCGCTAGTCAGTCAACAGGGTGTCGAAGCGAGACGCTGAACATCATCGCCGCGCAAAAACCATTGAGTTTGAACGATGCTCTGAACAAATCCCCGAAATGTCTGACTCCAGAGGATCTCTCTGAGCTTTGTTGATTTCAGCCACTTTGAACGGTGGATGCCCTTGTGGTAGAATTGCGAAGTGCAAAGCACTTCAAGAGCACCAAAACCAGCATCGAGATCATCTGCCTTATCGTCTAGTGAGTGCTTCATGATTAAGATGTGTGGTTTACATCGGTTTACAGCAAAATCGCGCTCGACCTGTCGCAGCCGTCAACAGGAAGTCAGCCCACCGCATGACACACCGATGAAAAGAAGCCAACCCACAAGAACAGGAAGTCACACCACAACGTTGAATCTCAATGGCACACATCACCGACAAATCTGTCAACATGCACTTCTTAAGCTTGTTTGTGGTGTGCTGCGGCGCGCTACTTGCAGAGCAAACTAAATGTCGGCTTCAATGTGTGCTTCCGCATGACACATTGAAGATGCAGCACCCAACATTCTACACTTAGCTTGTGTATGGGAGCGCCCCGCATTTGGATTCACAGTGTGCTTCTGCATAGCACAGCAAAGATGCAGCACGCATGTCTCATGTTGGTATACTTGCCCAGAAACCTCCTGTTAGCTTGTGCACGCTGGGCACAGTTGTTGATGTGTGACCCACCCATATCTGTCAACTACAGTAATTATCTACTGTATTCAAGCGGCCCCCACATCGCAAACTCAAACGCGCGAGCTTCATGTAGCTGTACCCACCCGAAAAACCCCACCTCGGCTTGCACTGGGCCTGAAGGTGGATATGTGGGGTCCCGCCAGGCTTTGGACCAAACAGGCCAACCGAGACTCGTTTTTTTATAAGAGACTGAGACTGCAAAAGGAATTTGACCATGCAAGTCGTAGAAGCAGAAGAGGGAAGTTTGAAAGCCAGTGTGCCCGCAGATTTGGAGAGGTGTGCTTGCTCGCCTCCTGTCATTGAACTTGTGGTGCTTGGATAGCTTTGCAGTGATACGCCGGCTGTGTGCGCCTCCACAGCTGATCCAAACGTATGGTGCGCCACTGCGGTTGCGTTTGGATGCTCTCTGCACATTGTACTCCTAAATAAGCATGCCACTGCGATTGGCATAAAGACATTGCAGTAGACCATACTCCTGTCTGTGCCACTGCGATCAGATATATATATATATATATGTGCTGAAGATGAACCGCACACGCATTTTACTACGCATGTGCCTGGAACATGCCATTCCACAAGGCACACTGACCGTGGCATGACTTCACGCGACGCGGCACGAGAAAGGTCAAGGACCCAGTACAATGTTCTTGCGCATATCACATACCCTACACTTCCAATACCTCCTTAGAGTATTTGGAACCTCCAAACCCACCCCAAACACCTTCTCAGAAGGCACTTGGAGGCCTAGGGATACAGTAGTATCACATCATTTCTATCAACTGCTCCAGCCGACTCTGTCGCACGCCACGGAGTCAAGTCCGCTCCGGATCGAGGTCATCCAGGCGCCGGCCGTTGGAGATCAAAGCGAGGTCCTCGAAGAAAGACAAAGGGACCTGCAGCGAGGCAAAAACTCATCCGAGTGAGCTGAGATGTTCAGGGAGAAAAATGGACTTGAATAAACACCACCAGCAGCGGACCAAAAGACAGCCTACAGCAATTATATGCAATTATACCCTGCTTTACCGCCCTTCACCCAGTGGGATAGCATCCCTACAGGTGTTGGGCGTTGGGAAGAACATGGTTCACTTGTTATGTTTGGGAGGGGTCCTTTAGGCCCGTAATTGGGCACAGGACCCTATCGGTTGAAACCCAACCACTCAAAAAGTTGGCTGGAATTAGGAAGACTTCGGCATCCTTCGCCACGTCGTTCGCGGCATCGGGTGCGTTCTTCATGAGAAAGACGGATTCCGAAGCCGCACTGACATGATATGCATGTGGCACGCTAAACCTGGCCTTTCAAACAACTAGAGGCAAGTTGAGCATAAACAATTTCAATGGCGCAGAGAAGGCCAGGCATGGGAGTGTTCTGCTTTGCATGCGAGATATGTGCATAGGTGGAAGCCTCGGACTTCACATACCGAGTTGCAACAAATCAACGGAGACCACGACATGGGTGTGGAGGGGGTTCCCCTCGCCTGTAGCTGCTACTTCAAGCTTCTGACGCAAATTGTTTGGCTCGTATTTGCACATTGATTTGACCAAGTCACAATCTTCCCACATGGCTTACCTGGGTGGGACACGGGTTAACAGTGCAGAATCCCTCTTGTGCGACGGCCGTGAGGAAACGCAACGTGCTGCTCTGCAAGAAGAGTGAATGGCCAATTGCGACCCTTTTGTCAGCCCGAGCATGGTCAAATACGCGTCCCGACCCGGCAGATTCTTTACATCATGCTGGGGCACCCGCGACAAGGACACTGTACAAATCGTCGTCCCTTTGCATTATGCCACAATATCTATTCTTGTCTATTCTTATCTTCTTACACCCGAATCAGGTATCTGCAAGGATGCGGCGCTACTAAAGAGGTTCGCCAAAGAAGGCTTCGTAAACCATTGGAACCTGACTTGGCCAACATCCAAGAGAGCGCATTCTGCGAAACGGCAAGCGCAAGAAAAACACAAACCAAAACAGCTCGCCGAGACCGTCTCTACACTCTACACCTGCATTCACTGCCAACACCTGTGAGTTTCTGAATGATTTTTTTGTCTGAAAGAGAACTTCCTACATGTGTAAGTGTAACTTGATGCGTACAATGGTTGGTTCATGCTGATTAAGGTGACAATATATCTGCATCTGATCTTTATGTATCAAAATCAAGCTGTCCAAGCAAAACTGAACAAAACAAACATAGTGGACAAAAATGCAATTCGGTGCTGAAATTCTTGCCTCGAAACTGCACCCATGATCATGGTAAAGCTCAGGATAGGGCGCATGGTGTTTTCGCAAACCCAATTGCCGTGAACCAGCGCTTCGTAGCAATGATTGAAAGCTGAGAGAGTAAAGAACAGAAGTTGCAGCAATATGAGAACAAGTTGAGCTGGAGTCTCCCGAGGGTACACAAAGAAGGTTATCAAACCGATAATGAAGCTCACCAAGAACCACAGCGTGCTCTGTGTCGCATATGGATTTCGTCCGGTCGCATAGTCGAAGCCCCGATCATACCTGTGGGTGCAGCAAAACGCAATGATCACAATGTTGCTTAAGAATTGTGTTGTCGTGCCTCAAGTCAGCATAAGTCAACGCTCGGGAGGCAGTTGAAGCCCTACGGATGTATACATATATAATATAGAGTAACTACGTTCCCATGAGGCGCCGGTTTCGAAGAAACAGGACCTGCTCCTAAGCGTGCGGGTCCAGGAGGTGTGAAACCATGCGCACAAGTTCGCATGGCACAGCAATACCCAACTCGCGAAAGGAACTTCGCCCCATCTTCTTCCCCTCGCCGAAGCTGGCTTATTTGCCCAAGCTGGCTGGAGCGTGGTGGTGTTTCTGTGCGGAAACCAGGAAACCTTCTTTTGGAGCCCCGTGGGCGGGAGAGGAAAACGTATGGCCATGGTTTCATTGCGCAATGGGAAAGAACGCGCATACAATACATCAGGTACCGTTTTCAAAGGTATGTGCGTGTTGTTTTCTCAATGTAGACCTTTGCCATGCTGCATGTTGCCCTCTTTGCCAATGCTATCCTCACCTGAATTGTATTATATACAATATAATGTATCTAGCCATCATTACTGCTAACATATATTCACGTGACCGATTCAGTGGTGTCCAAACCTTGGAATCCATTGGCTTCCATGCTGGCTTTCCTGGCTGCAGTTTGTTTGTGGCTTGCATTGCATCAGCTGTTTTTTTGCACGCAAGCCGCATGCGTCTGAGTTTTCCCATACACCTCTGAAAGGTAAATATAGGCTACAAGTTATAGTAAGGAAGTGGTTGATGAGATCCTCATTCCACGTCATTCCATTTGGTGGAGATGAGTGGTCCTGTTTTACCGTCGTGTCCAATGAGGTTGGTGAGGGGTGAGGTCTGACACCTGAATTGTGCTCCTTCCTCCCGACTGCCCCTATCCGCTGGTGCTATAGCGGCCCTCCTGGAGCTGCTCTCAGAAGCACAATCACTATCTGATGCTGGCGACGCTTATCTACGCTAAATCCGCCCCAAGCGATGCTAATGCTTTGTCAAAGGCGATGCAGGATTGCCTCTATTTTCAGTCTTCTTTCACTACCCCACCCCTGCAGTTAAGGGGATGAGCTAGGGTGTGGACCGTTAAAACACACACTTCGATAAGGTTCATTCAGAACGATAATCCACGAACGCAAGGCACTTGACTGGTTACTTAATGCAGAACGGAAAGGTGGTAGGTCAGTGTACTTGTAGGTGTTTCATTAAAGGATTGCGGAAACTAGTTAATATGTCAGAATACTGAGCACTCTTGAGTTAACGGCATGCAGAAAAAGTCACGGTAGCTCCCAGCTATGACCCCAACTTAATGGGTTAGTCATCCAGGGACGCTACATGCATGACAGGAGAAACCGGCCAAGTTTCCCTTCCCACTCTTATCCACAGCTTCATTGGGTGTGATAGGATAAGAGTGTCACACACCCCTGCTGAAATGAAATCTGAATCGAGTGGGACCCTTTGGTACAGGGTGAGACACACACAACGAAAGAAAAAATAACATGAATAATTTCCGTGCCTCTTACTATTTACACGACAAGCAATTCCCTGGCATTGTCTGGCTCTGAGATCCGGCCAGGCCTATTGGAGCACTGAGGTCGCTGACGCTACACTTCCATACACTTCCACCATCTTCAAGCGACGTTGGCCGCAAACAAAGGAAAAACAAATGAGACAAAAAGGGGTGGAACTCTCATTTCCAAGGGAGATTTCCGCGGGTTCAGGGATGTTCATGGATGTTCGTTTTGTCGATGAAAAACAGGAAAAACACACCAACAGTCACCAATCACAAACACAAAACGAGTGAGAAAGTATAATAAAATAAGTAATAAGTCAATCGCAGCCACCCTTTCTCGCGCGCTGCAGCTTCCGCAAAGAAAATACCTGCAGAGTGGGGTCAGTTGGATCGGGGTGGGCTTCAAAAGGGCCTAAATGAACATCGGCACTTGCCTGACGCACATAACAGTTGCAACATCCACCAGCTTTAGGTTAGCATGTTTAGATGGAATGAGCTCTCCGTTTCCGTCAGTCTCCGTCTGTCTCCGGGAACCCGCCTTCCAGGGCACAGGGGGCACTGAGTCCAGCGGAGAGACCCAGCTGCAACCACCGCACGGACTCTGCCACCTTTGAGGCCATCGTGGTCTCTGATTTGGTGAAATGGCCTCCGGCCACGGCGACTTGGCGTGCGGCTGGTTTTTTGCTACGCAACTTTCCCGCACCCCCAAAAAATAACGGAAACACGGCGTGTCACACCTATGCTGAGCACAATGCAAACGTGACGATATTCATGGTCGGTCAAATCTGTCAAACGCCGAGTTGCTATCCACAAAGTAGTAGTAAGAAATGCCATAGCCAGCAGTGGTCAATGCAATCCGGATGAATTCCTTGCCGATGATTCCCAAACAGCAACTTCAACGGAGTTCATGAACGGAACTTGGATTAACCTCTGATATTGCGCATGTGGTAGAAACGCGCAAGAGCGTTTCCTCACAAATGTACACAGCTTGTGCATGTTTGCCTTTTGTAACTGCAAATCTGGACTCTTTTTTCGACCTCTCATTTATACAATGATGCAACGGCCACAGGATGCACAACGAAAGTCGCCTTCCTCGCGTCATTCGTGAGCTATTGAAACGTTGAAATTGATACGGCCTCATGACCAGCCCAAGTGATTTCACTCTTCAGACTCTTCAGCTAAGCATCAATGAAATAGACCATGTAAATTGCAAAGCGAGAGGGGCTTGAGATGGCGTTGCTTTGCTCAGATCCAGTTTCCGCGTCCATGCCTGCACTCCTGCAGTCTCGAAGTCAGACGGGCAGGGTGGATGGTCGCCTCCCTGTAAATGGCCGAGGATGCCATAAAGGTCCCACTGTGACTGGCTTTGGGGCCGTGAATCCTAATTGACCCCAAACTGAAGACATGGGCACATCCTGTTAAGTGGCACCGGCCCAAAGGCAACAGGAAAAGAAGAATGACCACAGCAACCACAGCAAACGCCATACATCAGGAAGAAGCAAATGTTCTAAAAACCTCGCCCGACCTCTTAAAAGCTTTACCAACACCGAAAAGGTCCTATCATGTCCAAAATCACCAGCCACCGCCGATACAAGCTTCTGGAGCTTCCTCTCCAGGATGAAGACAATTAAGAAATGAACGCCCTAATTGATGCAACTAAGCAGCAGCGTCTTGATTTGTTGACTCGTTTGGCCACCGGGCTAAGTGCTGAGCCGAAAATGTCTGCGTGCCATTGCGCGCGGTGGCACAGCTTTGGCCAAGTTGTGCTCTCTCATGCTGTCCAAGTGCAAGCGAAGCTCATTGTGCTAGCACTTGCACAATCTTGCACATTCCGTCCAAACCGCTGCGGCTTCAAACACACACACACACACACACAATGCTAGCCCGATGTCCGGCCATGGTGGCTTTCCGCTGCCAGGATGCACTCCTTGAGATTGAAGACTCCTGGATCCAAATCTTCGGCGCAGATTCGGCACATGGAGCCCCTGGTCCTGCAAACAGGTGCATGGGTAGGAAAAAAGAACCATCACCCACCATATGCATAGATATCATCTTAGGATGTCATAGGCCGGTTTCCGATCTAATATTTTGACAAAAAAACACGTTCTTTGTTTAATCTATATGTTGACACATTAGCTTGCTTCCTTCTCATCGCTCCAAGACATGGCCTTTGCGGCGCGAAAAACACAGGCCAAGTGCAGTACCGCCGCCGATCTGAAATGAACTTTAAGTCCACATTCACCTGCGTCCGCTCCGGCCATCCCCTCAATCCCGAGGGCAACCAAGGAACAAGTCAGGCTGTGTGACGATCTGCACCAAGGACTGCACATTCTCCAAAACAATCAGGAGCTGGTTGTCTCTGCGCACGTCTTCTGCCGCTGTGCCCTGGAACGTTGGATGTCTGAGGAATACAAAAATACTCAGGCCCCTAACAACTGGCAATGGCGTGGTGGAATAGCGCCTCCAAAGAGCAAACTTACCACCCTACAAGCACCCGCTACCAGTATACATGCCGCTTCTTCAATTTAGGAATCTAAAAGCATCAACATATAAGCAACAATAGAACATTTAAATACTGAAAAACTATAAATATTATAACAACAAGAACTGTGCTGGGTAATGACACCCCTATATGAGTAAAATATCTGCCCAAAATGGCAGCAATTTCTAAATAATACCTTGGGTATATATATATATATCGTATACCGTATACCCCATTCATCCCCATTCCCTGCAACAAATGGCTAGTATATAAAGGCCTTGTTCTAAAATCATCTAAAATCGTGATCATTGTTTCCCGATTGTTACAGGTCATGGGACACGCCCAGAGAATACCAACCAAGACAACCCTCGCAACTCCCCCCTTCCCAACCGGTCCCTCCGCACCTCAGGGCAGAAGCGATTGCTGGGGCAACGGAAGGCCTTTCGACCGGAACCTCCGGACTCTCCCGTCTCACGCTTGCAGTAGTAGCCTCACGGCGATGTTCTTGGAGAGAGAGGGTTGAAGTGGTGAAGTGTTAGGTACTGATAGGTCGAATCAAAGCGGAACAAAAGAAGAAATCATGGTCAAATTGTGTGTGGATGTGTTGTGATTTTATGTTATTGTGAAAATCTCAATGCTGCACCGTGTCAAAAACACGATGAAACTGCTGGTCGCTGTCCTTCCCATCCTGCCCAATAATTACTGTGGTACAAACATGCTCAAACATGCACAAACCATGTTCATCGAAACCTTACGGAGGCCTTGTTGTTGGCGCGAACGCGATGCCAAAGGTGATGTGTGTGCGCGTGCGTGAGAGGAACCATGAACCACCGTGGTCATCGCGGTCATGTCATGTCATGTCATGTCATGTCTATTGGGACCCATGCCCTGCAACATACTGCAACCAAGGCCTGCGCGCCTGCAGGACACAATAGATTGCGTGTCTCAGAAGGCACAGTGCGGACCTTGCACCAAAAGCCGGCTTCACAGTAGTAGTCGTACCTCAGCAATTCAAGGGAGCCCTCCTGAAGTCAGCCCCTTTCCAAGAAGCGGGGGTACAACAGCTAACAAAATTTGAACCCGAACTGAACTATAACAATTTGACGATATGATATCATGCACACTTGTTTTCACCAGTGCAAATCGGTGCTTCCGTGTTCTGCTTAAAATGAATTCTGCTCCAAGTTGCTGTGTGAAGGACGTTGTTGCCGGACCACAGCCGTAGCCTTGTGGGCAATCCCAGCCCTGAGAGTTCTCATAGCCTGAGCGACATCCGGAAGAGTCGGATGCAAATTCCTCAGCCTTCAGCCACTCAACTCGGTCTAACTAGTCACTAGTCCCACAGCATGGTCCCCAAAAGCACCAATCATATCAACCAAATGCCCTTTCTTTGTGTAGGTATATCAATATCTACATTATGTTTTTCCGTTTTTGTTCAAAGCCCGCTCCCCCCTCTCCTACTTTTAATTAAGCAATTAAGGGAGAAGCTAGTAGCTACAAGAACGCTACTACTTAGGACGCAGGATAGCTCACGCTTCTTCAAGGAAGCCCCCCCCGCCGCCTTTCCTTGAAGAAGCGCTCTCGCGAATGATTTTGGTTTCTAGATTTTTAGGGAAACTTATATTGGGGGTCTGAACAACATCATCTATCGATTCGATCGATCCACCTCACCCAACCGACCTCTTCCGTGCTCTCCGCTTCGTCACGCACCGACCTTCCGCCGCTCCAACCGCGCAGCAAATGTCGGTCGGAAGAGCGCCGGGCGCACAGGGCTGATCCACCGTGGCAAAGCGGATGGTGCCCTCGATGGGGCACACGTACCTGGCAGGTTGCCAAGCACTCCAGATATCTCCAGATGAAGGGGTTCGAAGAACATTCCAATTCTCAGGGAATCCCAGGGAGCATGAGTCATACCCTGTGCACGCTCCACCCCGCTGTTGCGGAAAACCCCTCAATCGATCGAACGCAGTTCCCTCGAGGGACCGGGCGCGGGGACCCCGCCTCTCATCACAGTTCCGGCAATCCAGGACGGAGGTGATGCCACCCTGCTCAGACCAGGTGCCCTGTGGGCAAGGTGTGCCTAGGGTCTTCGGTTTTAGCTGGCTGCAATGGCCGAGGTGTTTCGAGCGAATCTGGGGAATCCCTAAGACACAAAACCGCTCAAGGGCTTATCCAAAGTAGTCCTGAACGGTCCGTTCTTGTGATGAACTCCCACGTGTGCACCACTCGTTGGGCTGCTCGAGATTTATGTATTATAGGACTCCAGCAATCTGTTGAAGAAATTTGTTCACACCGACCATTTAACTTAATTACAACTTACCTGGACCTTCCAAATCACAAGAAAAAGTCGTAGATTTGGGATTTCACTAGTTTTCCCAAAAAAATCAAAACTACTAAAAAAAATCGTAGTTTTGATTTTGAGATGGTTTGAGGCTTAATGGCTGGAAAGGGTTGGAAAGCGAATCTTTGCAGCCATTTGGCTGAGAATCCACCCAGATCCACCCAGCATCACCCAGCTTTGGTGCTGTGTGGACTTGGTGCGCCCACCTCTTCTTTGATGTATGTGAACGTGTACGCATCCGTACTTTGAGATCTCTCTTCTCCAGTGATCCTGGCAGGCAAAGCTGTGGCTCAAGGCATGCACCATGGGACTATCTATACCATAAAGGTTCGATGTCCATATGATTTCACATATGCCAACAGGGATCCAACAAAAACATCTGTTCTTACCAGAACCCGTTCCCATGGCTACTCGTTTGGCTGAGAAGTGGGAAGCAAACACCGAGCTCAGACGCAAAGGTGTTCGACATCAGCAAGATATTGGCTCGGATGGCCTTGGATTCAGAAAGAATAACCTGAGTCACGTGAAATCATTTTTAAACAAAATGTGATTTGGAAGGTCCAGGTGTATATTTTTTGTGTAGGATTTGGAAGGTCCAGGGTGGTATCTCCTATCTTGATGGTCTGTGGGTCACCTCACTCATTGCCTTGGCAGGTTGTCACCACTGGCAAGCTAGTGTCGCGGGAGACACTCGCAAAGAACACGGATGTGGTGTTCATTGCTGTTCAGGAACTGGGGTACCGAGTGTCAGTTGACACTTGCTCGTTCCATGTGGAAGCCTTCTACAATGATGTGCTTCAAGCCGGTGTGCCAGGTCCATGGGCCAAAGCTGAAACTCAAATGTGTTGGTTAGCTGGCATTCATGACCACCAAAAGAAAACACATGAACAATCCCATTAATTCGACCTAAGGTGATGTTTGCGCTCTTCAAGGCTGGACGATTAGAAGATGCATCTCCGTCCTGAATGACATCATTCGACGCCAACACTACCCCCGAGAGCCAGAGATTCGCCAGCTTTTGAAAAAGCTGGATGTAAGTTTTGAGAAAGAGGAGACCCAACCAAAGAGTGAAGAAGAAGAAGAAGAAGAGGGTGTTGGAGAAGAAAACCCAGAGTCTGAAGCACCAACTAGTGAGGATGAATGTGTAGAGGAGACTGCTGAGGATATGGGGGAAACCCTAAATGAACCAAGGGTTGGTGTACAAGGTGAGGATCCCTCTCAAATCCCTGAAATTGCTGGCGGCACTGAATTGGTTGAAGAGTTCGGGAATATGCACATCAGTGGGGATCAAGTACCAGAAGGGCCCTCTACTTTGCCACCATGTGATAGCACCTCGGATTTAAAAAACATATTGTTGCAATGTTTTGCCCCTATCTATTTGGTGTGGGTCGACCCCCTTTCATTTTGGATGGATACCTCATCTTCTTAAGGCACTTCGCCTCCTTTGCTGGTTCCTGCACCTCTACCAGTCACACTCTTAGATGACAGCTATATGGCTTGAACTGACCTAGTGTTGGTGCACCCAGCCCCCCCCAACCGACCCAGGCCGCAGCTGACCTTCCAAGCGCAGATCTGGAATCCGGGATGACGTCTCCAGTGCTCTCACCTACCGTGATTGAGACGTCTCCAGTGCTCTCACCTACCGTGATTGAGACGCCAGAGCCGAAGCCAGGCTTGGTTGGGGTCAAACAAAACTACCAATGAACACACAATATAAATTCTGCCATGCTAGGCCTCGACTTGCCATCAATCACGCCACCTCCTGGACCTGACCTGACTATGGCTACTTGCTGGAAGTGATAAGCAAACCACATGACCTTTTGTATATAGTACACTGATTGAACAATATTCCAGAGCCCTTAAATCATCTGATTTGCTGAGGTGCAAGGGCTTTCTCCATTGGGCCAACATCAGAAGATCCGACTTCTAGCTCAGCTAGAGCAACAGCTTGCTCGATTGGTTGAGCTACAGAACTTGGCTGAAGCCAACCACAAGAAAGAGTTCCAGGAGCTGCAACAAATGCCACAAGGTATATGTTCCCTGGACTAATTTGAAAAGAAATGATGATATCCACTTGTTATAGGGACACCATCTACTAGTTTTATCGTTATATTTTGTTGAAGCCCTTGCCATTTTGTTGCGCAAGGTATGGATGAAGTGGATACACAACCTTTTCACGTGGGTTGGCCGGCTGCACCTGATTCGCTAGTTTCCAAAGACTTAGAAGATGGCTTGAGGGCATTGGACACAATGCAGGAAGCAGTGGTAATGGCTGTTCCTGAAATGGGCATGGACCTGCACTGGGAAAAGAAGGGGGCAATTGATCTTCCTCCTGGGTCTGAAACACCAACGGATATGAAGGAAGAAGGGCCAGGACATGTGCAGGCAGAAGAGGGCGGAGGGGAAGGTGGACAAGAATGTGAGAGGGAAGTGAAAGACGGCGACTGCTCAGCTGAGGCTGCGAAGGACAATGGGACAACGCCTGATGGAGAAGAGGAGGCTGCAAAAGACGATGGACGCTGTGAAGAAGGGGCTAGTGAGAAGGAACCAGAACATGAGGACAGTGGACCTCAGGTCTCTGAAGCAAGAGAGGAGAATGGATGTGAGGTGAAGGATGATGAAGCACTTCCAGATGTTGGCCAGGCTCAGCGTTTGGAAATGATGGAGAAGCCAGAAGAGACTCCAGTCGAGGAGCCAAACAAGGAGGAAAAGGAAAAAGAAGCTGCGCCTGAGAAACCTAAGGGCTGGGGATCCATTGGCTTCATCACCCGGAAGGAGCAGAACTTTAGCACAAAGGGCGATGAAAAGACAAAGAAGAAGAAGAAGAAAGATGAGGACCAACCAGAGGAGGAGGGCGATGACGAAGAGGAGGAGGAGGAGGATGAGGAGGACAACAAGAAAAAGAAGAGGAGTTGTGGGAGAGGTCGTGGGAAAGGACGTGGACGAGGGCGTGGACAAAAGAAAAAGCGTGCTGAAGAGGAGGAGGAGGAGGAAGAGGGAGAACGAGAAGGCGAAGGTAGAGAAGATAATGAAGACAATGGTGACAATGGTGATGATGACGATGATCAAAAAGATGCTCCCAAGAAAGGGCGGAAGCCAAGGGCTGAGCCATCCAAAAAGAAGACAAATACAGAGGCTGAGGCAAGAGGCAAAGGAGGGAAGAGCGCGCCTTCATCGAGCAGCAAGGCAAAAGTGCTTCAGAAGGATGAGAAGAAAGTGAACAAGAAAAAGGAAGCCAGCCCTGAAGAAGACATCAAAACAAAGCGAACCAACAAGGAGAATGGCTGTGAGAAAACGGCAGCACCTACAAGAAGAAAAAGAGCAAAGGAGGCAGAGACTGAGAAGAAAGATGAGGACGCAGGTGATGAGACAAAGGTGAGGAAGAAGGACAAGACTGTGAAGAAGGATGAAGCCAAAGGATCCACTGAGGGAGTACATGTTGAGAAGGGAAAGGGCCGCAAGAGAAAGCAAGTTGAAGACCAAGGCCCAGGAGCTGGACAAGCCAGTCAGACGGAGAAAGCTGCCAAACGAAAGAAGAGTGTGACTGTGGAAGGGGAGGACAAGAGTGAAGACAATGAAGCAGACGCAACAAAATCCAAAGCCAAGAATCCTAAGAAGTCAGGCAAGGCTGAAGAAGAAGAGCCTGCCAATCCTTCGAAGCCGTCCCAAGGTGAGAAGGAGATGAATGAGAAGAAAGCAAAGGCAAGCCGTAAGTCCGCAGCATACCACAGGGCCCACAAGGCAGCCATTGAGCAAGGAGCCACACAAGCAGAAGCCAAAGAAGCTGGTCGGAAGGCTGGCTTCCAGTCACTTCAGTTGTCTTAGACAAGGGTTGTGATATCTTATGATAATTGTTCTTTTTGACATTCAGAGAGGGTAGCTTATTCAGACTGTTCTGCAACACCTTGTGGAGGCCTACGGTGAGACGGACTAGTTCACTGGCCTCGACCCTGTTTCAGCCAGCAGCTGTGTTCTTTTTGGAGGTCATGCCAAGCGAGCATGAACCAATAATGTTGGATCCAAAGGTGGATGCCAACTCTTTGGGGTTATCCTTTCCCTGTGGAAGGGCTCAATATGATTCATTGGGGTACTAGCAGCGTTTCAGTATTTCTGGGTGGCCTATACACGAGAAAGTCCGTGTTCGAGCCTAAGAGTTTGACAGACCATACTGGATCTTCAAAAAAAGGAATTCTTAAGTTGCATTGATTCATGCAGAGTTCCTTTCACAAAGCTTGACGAGCAACAATCTTTTTTTGAAACATAAAAATATAGCATATATGTTCAGATCATTTGGAACTCTCCAGGTACCATGGCAAAGGGCCGCCGAATGGAGAAGTGGGCAATTAGACTGGCTCCACGATTGGGTGCTACTGGCAAGTCTTAGTTCATGCAGCACTCTGTCAGCTTCCACTTTTGGTGAAAGATATGTCGACATCCCTGTTTAAAGGCCTTCTACAAGAATAGGTGGTACCCTTCTGTCTTTCACCAAAACACCCTTGTTTGAAATACCCGGCCTTCACTGCCCGGCGCTGCTGAGCACATCATCAAGGGTTCACTCCTCAGCTTCACGCTTCGATTGGTCTACCAGCCAAAGCTCTGTGAGGATGTCCTACGGTGCGCTCGTGATGCACATGCTTGCGCACACATCAAGTTTCTCCATGGATAGGTACACACCTGTGGGTCCTTTGGTTGGTCCATGATGCCAGGCAAGGTCTTTATGCAAACGTTTTACATTTACC